TATTATTTCTAAAAATAACGTGCGCAGGAGTCAAAATAGCTCAACCACTCCACCCATTAAGAAAATCATGCACTTTCTGACACAACTTCTGAATAATCCTGGAAGGAGTCTCCTAGCACTCTGTCTTAAGTCTTTAAAGAAATTGTCCCTTAAGATGTCACCAGACTGCAGGGCGGTGGTGGTGCACGCCTTTAATCCCAGCACTCGGGAGGCAGAGGCAGATGGATCTCTGTGAGTTCGAGACCAGCCTGGTCTACAAGAGCTAGTTCCAGGTCAGCCTTCAAAACCACAGAGAAACCCTGTCTCGGAAAAAAAAAAAAAAAAAAAAAAAAAAAGATGTCACCGGACTATCTTGGAATTAAGAAACATAAAGCAGTGGCTTTCACAGCTTTGAAAAAAATAATAAAAATTCCTCTCAGGCAACCCAGTGGTGACAAGTAAGGATGACAAGTAACGGCCCCTGTGTCCAGGTCTCAAAAAGCTATAAATTTTCTATTTCTTCAAGCAGGAAAAAGCAGAGCTATTTAACTGCCTTCTTCCTGGGATTACAGGGCAAGACCGTAACCGGGAGGAGCTGTGGGACAGTTTTCACTATAGGGGACAGGGGGCAGCCAAAGCTTATCCTGGGATGCAAAGGGGGGGGAGGGCGGATTTAAACACAAAAACAGGGCACGGTGAGTTTACCTCCCCATTAAAAAAATTAAAGACTTCTATAAGTAGTTCACAGAGCTTCTATGAGAGAGAACGCAACAGATAATCTGGGCACCAAAGTTCCATCCTGGAGCTTCCTGCGGCAGCAGCAAAGTTTCACACGTTAACCCTCAGTTTCTACGTGCGCAATTCTCCGCATCGGGCTGCCGCTGAGGGACAGTGAAAGAGACCTTCTTAGCAAGGAACCCTGCCTGCAGTTTTAAGTGCAGCTTCTCCCTAGGGACAGCAGGCTGGGAGGCGGGGTGCGAAGGGGCGAAGGAGCGGAGGGGCACGACGCCTCTCCTTTCCTGGAAGGAGGAAAACGAGGGACCACTTTCCTTCCGTCAGATCACA